GGAGGCGGCTTTTTGTTATTGAGATTTCGTTTTCTGCTTTATTTGTAGCTATTCGCCTTTTTACGACCGCCGATTGCCTTGTTTGTCCGGCTAGCCGGCAGTTGTAAATATGCTGCGGCCGTGAGTCAGGCAGGCGCGGGCCTAAGTTGAGTAATTAGCGAGCCAGACTACCAGGTAGACTCCTAGGTAATGACTCCTGGCCAAGGCCGTCCTACTCCTCTGCCTGGTTAGGGAGTTACAAACCCATCAAGAAACAATTAGCGGGGGATTAGCACAGTGACCTAACGGCTAACTTATCATCCAACCCGTCATTTTGCCATTGAGCTGGTGACAGTCATCGCTGGTCAGTTTTCCCACACTGCGAGAAAAGGTAACCAACTTTATAAAAATATATATTAAATATAATTAAACAAAATATTATAGTATACGTTAAAACATATTTATGAAATGAGATCAAATGGTCGATGATCCTGGCTGCTATTTCTACGTTTTTTAAACATCTACAACATTATAAAATTAAATAAAATAAAATAGTGAATAACTTTTTTAGCAAAAGGAATCCCAGTGAGTTTAGCCCACTCATACCAAGTTCTGTAACGATAAATGTTTTTATGGGGAATAATTAAAGCTACTCCGTTTTTAAATCACTTTTCCCTGCAGGGTTTAATCACATTCGATTCATGATTCCCAGACGTCAACGCAGAGGGCAACGAATTGGTGATAAGCGCCCTTTTGGGATTAGATAAACCTCGTTGGGTCGACCGGAAACCGGACCGGCAATTCCAGAGGGTCTGGTAAAGAAAAAGCGAGTAAAGGAAAAGAAACGAAGGAAAGAAAACGCAACCGAGTGCATATCAGAAAGCAGAGCACTCAAAGTGAAATGTCAGCTCATTGTTCGGCGGAAAAGCTAAACGGTCTTTGATTTGTGACCGACACTCCGGCCCGTCTTATGCATTATGCAGATCTTGTCCAGCTCCAGTTTCAAGTTCAATACAAAGTTCACACCACGCAACTGTCAACAGTGAATGACTCTGCGGTCAACGAAAGTGATACCGATTTTCGGGGCCCTGAAATCTGTATACCCTATCTAGAGTTTATGTAATTTGAGTCCCATTTATCGTTAATTCAGGGACTCAAATCAAGCAAATGTTGAGTCTTAGGTATTATAGTGGGGGGAGTTTTCTTTAAGCACTTTATTTACATCGTCACTGTTTTGAAATTGAATCGGTTAATATCGCCCAACAGCTCCGATACTTGCGGTTTAAGCACCAGGTTTAAAAGGAAATAAAACTATCTGGTAAATAAATGAAATATGAACTCATCGTATAATTACCGATGGTTATCCATACCTGTTTACATAATAACTTATACCCTTTGATTGCATCACTCGGGTATCACTTGTGCGGGCAAGCACACAGGCCCAAATAAACAAACAAATTTGGCAATGGAGTGCGACATGGAGTATGCATTATGGAGTGTTTAGGCCTCAATTACATAGAATCCATTAGCCGAAAGTGAAAGAAAGTCAGACGAGGTGGAGGTCTAAAGCTTTGAAAGATGCCCCTGGCCCCGGCCCCAGAGACCCTGTCCCGTTTGATTGCCCGGCTCAAGTGCCCCGACTTTAATTGTCGAAGCCAGTTAACTAAACAGTTTACTTGATCCGCCGCAGTCACACGCGACAAACACTCATGTCTCGTGTGTCACAATAGGAATTAGCGTAAACTGTTTTAACGCCAAACAAATGGACATTTGAGCTGTGAGCCATAATCATACTCATATGCGACCCGCCTTGGGCTTTACCCAACGGAGTAGCAGCGATGGGAAAGGTACCATTTTTGGTCAAGGTAGTTGCAGGGTAGTACTTATATGGAAGGTACCTAAAACTAATAATGTAATTAAATTAATTAGTAAATTACCTCTAGTGCAAGTACTGTTTAATTCAGTCGCTTAGTTATTAAATTATGTAGCATTCGAATCTAACCAAACTTTTGTCAAATTAAATTTGTTTGAAAATGTCTTTAATCCTTAGGATAATAATTTATTATAAGAATACGTTTATGATGATATATACCATATCATATATCATATCATATCTGCATATAATATGCAAACTAGTAATCTAGTTATGATGTAAGGACTGTTTTTTGCGTATTTGATATCTAGTGGCGATATATTTGATGATTTATAACCTTCTAAATTACAGTGTTTTTGACTTTTCAGCCATATCATATCATATATGATATGATTCATATCTCCACGATCATATTTACTCCCCGAATTAAATATCGATCGATCATTTTTCGGTTACCATAGATAAGGTACGAGAGTCGGGAAACCAGGTACACTTAACCCGGTACCCCTCATCACTGGGCAATCGCTCGGTGGGTTGTCCAGTACGTGAGTCGCGGCCGGTGCACTATGGGGAATTTGCTCACTTTTTGTGGCATTAATTAATAACTTAAGAACAAAGCAACATTTAAAAGTTTTGTTTTTAGAATTAAGTATATAAAATTTAAAGGAAGTAAATTAAAAAAAGATGGGCGTGGTCCCGCCTTTTTTTTAAGACAAAAAAAATTTTTTTTCTTGTCAATAAAATAAAAAAAATTTTTTTTCTTGAATTTTTTTTTAAGAGACCAAATTGATTTAAAAAAAAATTTTGGCATTTTTTATTTCCCATTTTTTTAGTGAAATTGTAATTTTTTGTATTGTGATCACTATAATTCTTAACAAAAATACTAAAATCCTATATATCAACGTTAAGTAAGTGAAATGATGTTGTAAAATAATTTTAAAATAATCGTTATTTAATAAGAAATATAACTGCACACTGTTTTTCTTAAGATAACATCGAAACTGGCATTTACCAGACAAAAATGAGGAAAATATACCATATTAGGTAGAGGTCTTTAAAGCTAAATTTTAGAGAAAGTGCGCAAAAGTGCACTTTTATACTAACCGAGCTCAATGAGAATTAAATTCTCTACAAGATAAAAAAGGTTTCAGAGGTGGAAACAGCTGGAATCACTTTGTAGCTCTATTTAAAAATACAAATTAACTTAAAGATTTTGATTTTTTTGAGGTTAGAACTAGAACACGAATATACGAGCACCACAATCAATAAATACAATATTAAGGTCACAAACACAAGTTACAAGTCCCTCTGATTGGATGGTATTTCAAAAACCTCAGAGCTATGTTTAATTTTACACTTTTTGACAATTTAAACTATTAAGAATAATAGGCGCTTTACCAGCGCTGCCACCTCGTTGAAATAAAAACAGGCTTTAACAGCTGATAACTTAACAGTGGTGCGTACTGTTAAACTTTTCTGTTAGTAACATTAGATATTGATGTTATCCTGATGCATTCTGATAAACAAAACCTATTTTTAACGACTTTTAAAAAATGGGTTTTGGCCAAAAAAAGTGGTCAAATTCCCCATAGTGCGGTGGGTCAATGCCGCCAGTGGGGCAGTGGAGCGGTGAGCGGTCATTCAGCGGTCCATTGATGAAACGGAGTAGAAGCCGTGTGCACAGCAGTTACAACCCCTTGCGCAGTTGTTGACGAGCTATTAAAAAGCCATATAAACAAACAGAAAGCTCTCCAGCGATCCGCTGAATGAACGGTGAGAGCTGTGGAGGATTGGCGGGTGAGCTGTCGATTGTCTTTCAAGTGGGCAAACATAAACACCAGAAGACTATGGGTATGGGTATCCAAAGGTACCTACATACATATGTTGGCAAGTACTTGGGCCAGGCCAAGCCAGCCCAGGCCACATCCTAAATAAGCAGACGCCGTTTTCATTAGGCAACAGGTTATTGCAATTCAGCGAAAAAACAACGGCCCCCGACGACAACAATGCGACGAAAAACCACGTCGCTGCCGGAGACACACAGCCGCAGTCAGAGCCAAAAAAACGGAAAAATGTAAGTAAGTAGCTCCCAAAATTTATACACTGCTCAAAACCAATTGTCTCTTATGAATGCATTGTATACTGTATGTGATGCGCATAACTTTCAACGGCACGTGAGCCGATCATATTGTTAAGCTTATTGAGGGTATTTATCTTGCTTTATCATCTGGTTTGGTGTGGGTTGAATGGGTAAGCAATGTTGGCCCTCGCAAATTCTACGAGATTGATCAGATTTCAAAGCCAATGAGTTGTCAAAGTTGTCATGCCGCGAAATGAATCATTTTCTTGGAATACAGGTGGGCTTCCATAGCGCACACCTCAGTTTTTGATGGCGAAGAGATTTGATATACGACTATTTTACTAAATCTTTTTATAGTTTGTTGAATTAATATAAATATTTAAATGGATTTAATTTAATATAAAACATCACTCTGCAGTAAGAAGTTCTTGCTTTTATAGAGTTATTTAAGAACAGAATATAATTCTTATTCCGAATCTGATGATAGAACAGAAAGAAAACTAGCATTACTAAGACAACAGAAAAAAGTAATAAAATTGATTAAGATTCTTTAAAAAACCCCTGAAATCAATTAATTTTTCTTACCAAATAAAATTAATATTTTTAACTATGTAAAGCTTACAGTACCACTAGGAGAATGCTCTTGAATAAATTAAGAAGATTAAGATATGTGTACTTTAAGCTACAAAAATTCGATGTGTTGCTGAGCGGACTTCATCATGGGGTTTTTCTCTAGGACAAGGTCAATTTCACTTTCTTCTGGTGTGTGGAGCTTTAAATTTAATCTCATCTTGAGGTTGTTTCTGCGGTATTCGCCCACTGTACTCGCCGTTGACAGTTTTGGATAGCGTTCTCTCTTTCGCTAAGCTGTTATAATTGCTCAAATTGCCGTGGCAGCGTGCCAACTGATTGTATTTCGGGGGGGTGGGGGCTTGGGGGTTTTGGGGGCTTTACTGGAGTGGGGGCGGCGGCGATTGATATTACGCGCAGTGTAGAGGCTCTTGGATGCGCCGCTGCTCTGGGCGCTCAGGTAAGCTGAGCTCCAGCCGATCGAGTCGCCTGCCATGCAGGTGGCTCACCGGTTGGAGCTCTGCCTCTGCTCCGCCGCCAAAAACCACCTCAAATGAGTGGCAAGCCCTGCGAGCGGCGGACGCATGCGCAGTCGATAAAGCACATTCGAATCGAACACTAGCAGCGGTACTGCCAGAAACGAGAAAACGGCACTGGGATTGCAATTCCCATTCATACGGTTTTGGCTTTGGTTTTCGGTTTCGGTTTCATTTTCGGTTTCGGCGTTTTTGAAAGCTCCGCGCTGGAAAGAAAGTGCTGTCTTTCTTTCTGTAGGCCGCCGATCCTTGGGCAGCTTTCGTTTTCATTTTCATTTACATTTACCCTGGGTTTCGTTTCGCTGCGATCGATTGCGAACCGGTTGGACTTCTGATCGGTTACCCAGTTACTTAATCCCAGCGTGCGGCGTTCATGTAACCATAATCCTGGTCAGCATGCGACGGGAGCGAGTGGTGCTGCTGTGTCTGGCGCTGCTCGGACTGCAGCAGGTGTCCAGGGCCACTGTGCGTCAGTCGCGCGAAATCATCATCACAGATGCGGTATGTGTTCCTTGGGACGGGGACGGCGATGGATATGGGGAGGGGTGGTAAACCCCAGGTCGGCTCGCCAGCGGAATTCCAAATTAACCATGTGTCACAACGCACGCGTCGCGTGGCCTCCAAATGTCAAGCGCCGAATGTGCCAACAATTTGTGTTTGCATTTCGGATTTTGGTCCGACTGACTTTTGCCTTAGCTTCCTGCCTCCGTGTGGGCCCAGTTTGGTTACCTGCCATGTGTTACCTGGTATCTCGTATCTCGTATCCGTTGCAGGTGCGGCGCATCCAGAATGACGGCTACAACGTGGAGCGCCACACGGTGACGACGAAGGACGGATACGTGCTGACCCTGCACCGCATCCCGCAGGTGGATCCCGAACTGGGCACCCTGCTGAAGCGCCCTGTCGTCTTCCTGCTCTCCGGACTCTACGCCTCGTCGGATGTGTGCGTATACCAATATAATATGCCATATGCTAATAGATACTTCCGCTTGTGGGAGATAAGAAACACTGGGAGAACCCAAGAGCATGGGCCAACTTGAAGCGATATGTCCATGGGTTTGCCAAGAAACTAATGATTCATTACAGTCATTGGGAGTTTTTTTTATCCCCCCGTCTGTCTCCTCTCGGAGACCTTATAAGCGATAAATTCATTGATTTATATACTCAGATATGAGAACTGAAGACTACGAAATAACTTATATGATTAATTGGAATAAATATCATATTCTTCTCTTATAAGTTCTTCAAGGTAGTGGAAGTAACTTAAAGTGTTGTAATATTATTTTGCTAACTATACAAGTAAATCAATTGTAGCTCGATCAATATCATAACCAACACTCCTTTTTGTAGTGTTTATAATAATTTAACATTCTTTTAAAGGTATTTTAACGATACTGTGATAAAGTAAAAGTTACACCATGAATATTTAAACTTTAATAGAACAAACCAATTATTGATATGGTAATCAATAATTCTAAACAATATTTTTCAACTATCTATCTAATAACAATATATTGGTATAACACCATCTTGGAGAAGGTGGCATTCGCACTTTAAAGAACCTTAGAAACAAATAACCCTTATAAGAAATTCTAATACCGGCTTCCTCTCTTTTTCCAGATGGATTCTCAACGGGCGCGAGGACTCGCTGGCGTACCTCCTCTGGCGCGCCGGATACGACGTGTGGCTGGGAAACAACAGGGGTAACATTTACTGCCGGAAGAACATGTGGACGAACACGACGGAGCGGGAGTTCTGGGACTTTAGCTGGCACGAGATGGGCGTCTATGACTTGCCCGCTCAGGTGGACTACGTGCTCCGGACAACCGGACAGAGGGCCATGCACTTTGTGGGCATCTCGCAGGGTGGCACTGTCTTTCTGGTCCTCAACTCGATGATGCCACAGTACAATGCCGTCTTCAAAAGCGCCACCCTATTGGCCCCGGTGGCCTATGTGAGCAACACGAAGAGCGGACTGGCCAAGGTCATCGGTCCGGTGCTGGGCACCCGGAACTACGTCTCCAAGATGCTAGAGGGCGTGGAGATGTTCTCCACGAACAAGTTCTTCAAGAAGTTCCTCTCGATGACGTGTCTGGAGAACGAGAAGCCGCTGGTCTGCATCAGTCGCCTGTGGCCAGCCGTGGGCTACGATACTCGGTTCCTCAACAAGACCCTTCTGCCCGATCTGATGGCCAATTTCCCGGCGGGCGGATCGGTGAAACAGCTGATGCACTACTTCCAGGGCTACGTGTCCACGCGATTCCGGCAGTACGACTACGGCCCGGAGCGGAACTGGCTGCACTACCAGCAACTGGAGCCACCGGAGTACGCGCTGGAGAAGGTGTCCACACCAGTCACCGTTTTCTTCTCGGAAAACGATTATATTGTGGCTCCGGCGGACATCTGGCGACTGCTCACCCGGCTGCCCAATGTGGAGGCCGCGTATAAGGTTCCCTGGAAACGGTGGAACCACTTCGACTTCATCTGCGGATTGGGGGTCAGGGAGTACATCTTCGACAACATAGTGCTCTCCATGAATCGTTATGAACAGCGGCGACGTTAAGAGGAGGAAGCCAGGAAGACGGCGGGAAAGGATCACAGCCAGAACTATCACTAGTGCCAAAAACAATGTAGAATTACGAATCTGAGTCTGCGGTTGATTCGGCTAGATCAACTCTGGATATATGTACTGATTAAAAAATAAATAATTTATAGATTAGACTAAATCGAAGTGAAGTTTTCAAAATGTGTGTGAAGTGATTTAATTTTTAAGTGTAATCATTCCTTCTGAGAATTCTCGAATGCATTGATTATGTTGATAACCGGTAGATTGACAACCTTATCTATTGTCTTCCCTAAAATAAAGTCCAAGTGGTCCCAGGTAGGCTCCTTGATCTTGTGTTTCACCGACCGGGCCAACTTGCTGACCAGCTTTAAAATGTCCTTTGTTGAGATGGTGTTATCTCCAGCGCTGTAGAACACGTTGACGGGTGTCATTGGATTCACCTTCTCCAGCGGATATTCTGGGGGCGAGGTTTGGCCATAGAGTTTCCGATTCTTTTTAGGCCCAAAGTCGTATTGTCGGAATTTTCCAGATTCCTTAAGCTGTATGTAGTGCTTCGGCTGCCTTGTGGAAAGTCCAGACGGGTTTGTGGCCACCAAATTGGGAACCACGGACTGCAAGTATTCAGTCTCATTACGTTTAAGGGCTTCAAACATTATTATAATATTTCGATAATAACCGTGATGTCAAAAATAGTAGAATTCGAAAAAAAAGGTTTCTTAAATAAAACGATTAGACTCACTTTATTTGTGTGTTTCGATTTATGCCCGCTCAAGAGCAGGTATACGGAGGCACACAGTTTCTTCGTTGCTTTTGACTTGCACATTAATTTCACAATAGAAGTTAGCAAACCTTTTGAGGGTAATAGCTCCCCGTCGGGCAGCCGCATAAATATCGGCTTGACTATTTTAAGACCCCACGTCAGGGAGTGTTTCATGAAGACCGCTGGGGCTAATAGATTGGCGGTCTTGATCTTCTTGTTATACTCTGGTCTCATACTGAGCAGGATCATCAGGGTGGTGCATCCCTGAGAATAGCATACAAAGTGCAATGCACTCTGGTTCGTGGTCGCTAAAACATAGTCGATCTGGGCGGGTAAGTCCTGCATTCCCATTTCATGAAAGCTAAACTGCCAGAACTCTTTCTGGGTGGCCTTCAAAGTGGTATGACGCCTGGAGTACCGGGTTCCGCGGCAGTTGCTCAGCCACACATCGAAGCAGGCATCGGCCAACATGAAGGGCAGTCCGGTCCTGGGTCCAGTCACCAGGAACCCATCTGACGCCAAAAGCATTCCGTGCTGCAAAAAAACGACTGGCTTTGGTTCGAGCTTGGTACACCGATTCGATGTCGGGATCCGGAAGTTTGTCAGGATGTAGCCATCCCAGGTAGTGACATTGTACGTCTCCACCGAATAGTTGTGTCGGGATATGAGCTCGACCTGAAGTCTGGACTAACTGACGTGATTTCATTTGGCCAACTTCGTCATACTCACCGCAGGCACTCTTTTGGAGCGGAAATCGATGGTTCTCTCCGAGAAGTCGTCAAGTCTAATCCCCGTCTCCACCTTTAAAAAGAACGGTTTGATTAATCCATACTTTATGTACTTCCTGCCATTTACCTTTGACATTTCCTCGGCACTACTTAGCCAAAAAAACAAGATTACGAACAATACCCTCAACATCTAGGAGCCAATAACTTGCATTCTTAATGGACTTAAAGGAAAGGCGGAACTAATTTTAAGAACATTTTAAAATTATAATTCCAAGTTCCGTTGTGCAAAGGCGCAACTAAACGGGTTTCACCTGGGTGCTTTTATATTAATACAAATCGGCTTTTAGAATGTATATAATATACCCAGGTTTCACCTGGGTGCTTTTATGTTAATACAAATCGGATCTTAGAATGTAAATAATATATATATATATATATATTTAAAAACAAATCGTAAAGCTATTTAAGCCAGGTTGGTCTCAAAGACAAAAATATTTCCCCTTTTGAACTGTTTATTTCCCATTCTTATAATTCTCGAATTGACCGATGACTTCCATAATTGGCCGATTAATAACCTCAGCTACGGTTTTGGCGAAGATAAAATCCATGTGGCCCCATTCCAAATAGGGAATGCGATGTGCAACTACTTTGCCCAACGTGCTGATCAGATTTAGAACATCCTCCGCCACTGTCATGGAGTCTCCAGCACTATAAAATATGTGGATGGGCGACTTCGGACGGACGTTTTTCAACGGATATTCCGGTGGCGAGGACTGTTTGTAGATCTTTCGGTTCTTCCTGACTCCAAAGTCATATTGCTGGAATTTGCCAGCCCTCTTGCCAGCCCCTGGAGAAAGTGTTTGGGCTGGCGCGAGGAAATGGCAGCCGGATGCGTTGCTAATACCAGAGGAATGATGCTCTAAAAATGGTTATACATTTCTTGCAATGAATATTGAATATTTTAAACCTTCCTTTCACTTACCAAGTTCATGAACTTGGTCGGTTGTGCGTTGGCCATCAAGTACAAGGAGGTGCAATATCTCTTCATACTGGCGAATCCGCAAAGAACCGTTATCACAAATCTCATAGCGTCGGTGTGCCCGAAAAAGTCGCAGTCCTTCATCTTCATAATGATCGACTCCAGTTTATTGACTAGTCCGGATCTCGAGTTGTGCATAAAGACAGCGGGGGCGAGCAGGGAAATGGTCTTCATCTTCTCGTTGTACTCCGGTCTCATACTGAGCAGGACCATTAGGGTGGTGCATCCCTGAGAATGACCCACGAAATGCAGCGCCTTCTGCTGCGTGGTGGACAGGATGTAGTCGAACTGGGCGGGCAGGTCCTCCATTCCGATTTCATGCCAGCTGAAGCCCCAGTAGGCTTCCCCGAAGGACTTCATCTTGGTGTGGCGGCGGGAGTAGCGAATTCCCCGGCTGTTGCTCAGCCAAACGTCGTAGCAGGCGTCGACCAACATGAACGGAAGTCCAGACTTTGGTCCCGTCATCAAAAAAGTATCCGCCGAGCATGTCAAGCCGTGCTGAAGGAAGACGACCGGCTTCATTCCCCTCTTCTTACATTTCTCTGAGTAGGGAATCCTAAAGATATCGAGGATATAACCATCTCTAGTTACGACAGTGTGCTTCTCCACAGGGTAATTGTACGAGTCTATAATATGGACCTTTAAGAAAGAACTTGGGTATTTCCAAAGTTTGAACCTTTAAATCACTCACCCCTGAAAATATTTTGATGCGGTAATCATCGGCTCGTCCAGTTAAATTTTGGAGGCCAAGCCTCACCTTAGCATTGACTATGCATAACCAGACAAAAAACACCACAAACTTCATTGACAACATCTTGGTGAGTTTTAACAATTTTTTTTACGAATAGGTGAAATGGATGGCAGAACTAATCCATTAAATCGCATACTATTTAATACTAATTTGAAAAAAGCATATCCAAAGGGAAAATAAGAGAGACTATATTTAAATAATAAAATGTAAGAAGTCGATTCCAAGAAACATAATTAGATATTTATATTTGAATTAACGTTTTGTGCCTTTTTCTGAAGAACGGAATTATAAATAAGTAACTGCTGAAGATATCATTAAAAGGAAATCAGGCGCATTATAGCTTTTAAGAACTCGCTACCGGATAAGAATTTGTATTTTTCTGGAATCCAGAAAACCGCTAAATACTTGATAAAATGTAAGTTATAAGTTGTTACGATAACATTATTACACTTTCTTCTTTTACGTCAAACCCTTTGAAAATTTCAATAATCGGATTCTTGATCAGAGGAAGTCCATGTGATGCCAAGCAGTTTCAGAGATGCATCACGGACTCCGGCAACCTAAAGGCCAAATTCAGGGGACAGACGTTATGCAGCGGATAATCGAGGGTGCGAAAGCTCTCTAGGTGAACAAGTTCTTCAAGATCCCGAAATCCTACATTCTGATCTTACCTGATCTTAAGCTAGTTGAAGTGCTTTTTCTGGCGCTAAAGAATTCCTTCCGGGTGCGTAGCATGTACTGATGTGCTGATGTACTGACTTAGAGAAGTTGTTCTCTTGGCAATGTCAATATAGGCACATAAAATGACAAACGTTTTGTACAACATTTGAAAAAGGAAAAACTTTCTTATAGTATTATTTCTGCCCGTAATATGCGAATCTAATTTCACAAAAATTCTAATACTCGTAACGGTTTAACATTAAGACTGTACAATTTCTGAAATAATTTCTCAAAAATTTTAATAAAAGATCATTTTCATAAGTATCCACACATCGTTATAAGCGACAGAGCTTTAAATAGTATCTATTCTCTGTCAAATCCTCGAAAAGTATTGATCATCGATATATAATTACTTGGCTTTCTCGTCACTCCTTTCTCGTACTTTAATTCCGTCTAAGTATTTACACAATTTGTTGTCTAACTGGGCGTCCCACTAGGAACGGGTCCCATCTTTAGGTCTATGAAGCGTCGCAAGGCCAGCGCCTTGCTGCTCACCAAAGAGTGACTTAAGTTGGCGAGGAGTGCTTTTGCTTGAGGCAGGTCGTTTTGGAGGGCCATGGCTACAGCCAGATTGTAGCGCACCACATTCTGAGCGGCGTCCACTGACTTCAGTTGCCAGTCACGCGTCTCGAAATCGAACGCGTTCAGTGTGCCCACGAAGGTAGGGTCCAAATGGTCGCGTGCTTCGGCTGCCTTGTCCATCATCATCAGCGCCTCACCAGCGTACATGTGACCCAGCAATCTGCAAAGTAAGACAGTAGATAAGCCAAACTTGATCACTTATCTAAAAAACTTAATAATACTTGTGTGCATCGGAGAGACGTTCACAGGCCAGCAGCTGCTCCGCCATCTCAAGCGCGGTCACATCGTCGCCCAGGCGAAGCGAGACGAAGCTGTGCGCCGCATATATGGCGGCCATCATTTTTTCCAACGACTCCAGGCTAACAGGCTTTGAGGGATTGCAGAAATTATTGTCCTGCGGATGACGCCAAGACTCCTGAGTTGGGTCCTTGGGTTCGGGTGTCTCGACATCCTCCGATGAAACCGCCGTCATGTGGAACCTCGTCTTGTAGTGCTGCGTTAGGGTCAACGCACTACGCAGGCACAAGGCAGCGAACTCCAGGGTGGGCTCTGGCACTCCCGCGGACTGGGGACTAAAAGAAGAGCGTTAGGTAGGCCGAGATCAAGATATACTTGAAATCACTTACGCGTATGGCTTTGTCGAGGGCGTGCCTGCCTGCGACAGGCGCTCCTCCTCCACCAGTTTCTATAGAAGGACATATAATTCAAATAATTTTAGATATACATTTGTAAATTAAAATAGGTAATTGGCGCTTCTAAGCAAGTCCAGTTCCTTCCGAAACTTAAGATTATGATTACTTACCGCCTCGTGCTCCATGATGCAGGCCTCGGCCATGCGCAGCCAGAGACGCGGATTGCTGTGAAACTGCTTGACGGGGACCAAGAAGCACTGGAACGCTTCCTTGGGGCGGCGCAAATGGAGCATGGCCACGCCCAGGTTGTAGAGGATCTCGCAGGACCGAGCCGAACTCATGGTTTGTAACGTGCTCTGACGTAAGTTCCGCGCAAGCTGCTGGTCAAAGTTCAGAGCATTCTGGAAGAACTGGGCGGCGATAGCATAGTGGCGCACTCTCAAGTGGATCACTCCCATGTTGTTGGCGATGCAGGTGCTCAACTGCGGAGTTACAGTGCTGCGGGGTAATAGAATTAAGTAAGCTTATCTTCACTACAGAACAGATAATCAGGACTCACCCAGCCTGGGTGCATTCGTTATTGATGCGCATCAGCTGCTTAGCGGCCATCTGAAAGTCCTTCATTATGTAGTACTGCTGTGCCTTCAGAGCAGCGTATTCTGGCGTACCGTCCTCCTGAATGACCACCGGTTTTCGATTCAGCACGAGCGTTATGAGTTGCAAAAGCTGCAGGCTACCGCCTAGACCAGGCACTGCCCCCTCTATAGCTGCTCCCCCTGGTGTCGCCACTACTGAATTGGGCGTGGCCGCCGGCGGAGAGGCAGATGCGTTGACAGCCGACTCCTCGGTTGGATTACTGCTGGGCGCAGTGGCCACTAGGTTGAGCTTGTACTGCAAATAGTCCAGGAAGGCTTCGGCCCGGTTTAGTTGATTGGTGGCCAGCAGCAGCTGAAGCTGGAGTGTGGCCACCAGCGCCGCCATGGCCTTCTCCAGAGCTTCCAGGCGAGCCACCAGAGGCGCCAGTTTCTCCAGTGCCGTGCCGAACATATGGCGGTGGTAGTAGATGACCGCCCGGTTGTAGCGGGCCACCGTGGCGGCAGCGGCTCCCTGTTTGAGGCTCAGGCCGCTGGATGCCTCTCCCGGAGCATCTGCATCGGCCGTTAGGGCCTCCAGTTCCTTGAGCAGGACGGAGTGTTGGGTGCACCCGGTCTTGTGGTAGCTCACCACAGCCCGGTTGTGCCGCAGGACGGGACCACTGCTCTCACCACGCGTCTCCAGCTCCTGGAGCAGCTCCAGGCAGCGATCGAACTCAGAGCTGAAAGGATGAGTAGCCGGAAAGGCGGTTACAGGCGCGAATTCCGGGACGAACAGTTGACCACTCACTTGTTGAACTGCTCGTGCGCCTGGCACAGCAGACTGTAGTTCTCGTCCTCGCCGGCCTGCGTTTTGGTGGGAGATTCCGCCGTGTCCATGCCAGAAATAAAAAAAACCGGAAACCGGAATCCAAGTGCACCGAGTCCTTTTTTAAATTGCTCCTCCAAAATTTCCAATTTTTTCCGTGCAGCTGCCAGCTGCTTGACAACGTTGCCACCTTGCGGAATTTTCGGCCCGCCGCGAATTTCGCTGGAGATGGGGCGTGAAATATCGCATGAAGTATCGGCAAGCTTCCCGCCTCTGGTCGATGTCGCGGGAAAATTCAAACTTAAAATTTTAACGGCAACGCAACTGCAACGGAACGGAATACGAACCACAAAACCATGAGTATCCAATCCTACGGAGCTTTCTTCGGCCTCAACGAGCGGTCGGCGGTGGAGGAGGCCAGCCGCTTCGTGGACAAGCACCAGAGGGAGTCCTTGAAGGAGAAGTGGCGGGAGGTGTTCAGCAATCTGCCGGAAGGTGCCTCTCCGGCGGAGAAGAGGAAGCTGGTGCTCATCCTCAGCTTCATGGTGCACAAGTAGGTGGCGGCTTTTTTCTCTCTCTCACACACACACACACACACGGCCTAACGGCTAACGGCTAACGGCCAACGGCTAACGGGACCGGGATAACGACGAACGTCGAAAAATTCGCCGCAGTAATTCGTATCCGCAAATTCAACATTCAACCATGGCGTGTCGGGCTCGCAGTATTATAATCCGGCTCCTAAAGGCGTATCCGGTCCTTCAAAAGGAGTTCGTCCGGGTGCAAATCGACCACCGCATCACGTCCCTCAGACTGTGCAACACCGCCACCCGAGCATACGCACTCGCTCACTTTGCAGTCCTCCGAGGCCACTGACTGGGCAACCATTTCTACACCACCACCCGAGCATACCTTCGACTCAGACTCGAAGTCGCAGTCGCTTCCAGCGGCAACTCCAGTCAGCAGTCCCACACCACGACGACCAACAGCCCCCTCAACGACGATCACCGTGGGAAGCTTCGTCAGGTCGTTCTCCAGTGCACAGAGCCGAAAGGAGGAAAGGTATATAAGAGTGATGGCACAGGGAGACCGGAACCGGTGCGGCAAATGCTTCAAGGTCCACAAAAGCATCAACAAGGCCAGCCACTGCCCGTGCAGGCCGGAGGAGCTACTAGTGCAGTGCCCGGACTGCAGCTTCAAGTGCAAGTTTGTGAGCCAGCTTACCGCGCACAAGGGTGGCTGCCCTCGACGCCGGGCTCGCACTTTGGAGGCCGTCACGAAGGCCACCAGGAGCCAGTTGGACTATGCGTTGGTGCACGGATGCATTTTCTGTCAGAAAAAGTTCTGCAACATCAGTGCCATGAAGAGGCACTTGGCGTTCTGCATCGCGGAGATCGGCGTGGCGAACGACCTCGCCATTGTGGCATCGGTAAGTAGAGGTTTAAGCTTAATATAAAATTGTTCACTAATTCTCCGATTATTTCTAGCGCACGCAAGACAATTTATTCCAGTAGCACATCTATGGCTCACAAACTGCTGCCCGACGAGCCGATCCCCAGCAGCCAAGCCCCAAGCCCCAATATGTCCAGCCCTAGGTTGCAGGTTGCAGTTGTGACTCACCCTTTAAATCCACAGGCGCGATTCCATTCCTCCGGGCCATCTGTTCACTGGACTGCGCTCTGCGATCTCTGCGTCGAGACCCTCAACAAGCTTGAACGACGGAGTCCACTTACGCCAATACGTGCACTGGCCCAGGAGCAACGAGCAACTACGTACTTTACATTCGCGCACCGGGGACCCACCATATTGAGATGTGCTATGTGCTAGGGCTGCCGAAACCATCGGCTGAACTTGGAACATGGTCACCCAAAACCCTCCACCGTGGGGGCCTACGCATCTCTAACGTTTAGAACAGCTGATGAAGCTGAAGCGCCAACTCAAAATTGCTAAGGCTCACTTGCGATCGTAAGATTAGCGCTATCATGGTCATGGATATCGACTGCTGCAGATCATCAAGCCATATCTACGCCAGCTCACAGAGGCGGAAATCTTTAGAGGCAACAAGGGAAACGTGAGCAAAAATAGTTTGCTCCTTGAGCAGAAAAGCTTCATCGAACGCTCAGGTCAGGGCCAGGGACATCCGGATCACACATTATAATGGGAAACATCGCCATGTGCATCACTCGCTGGAGCTGATGGAACGCCATGTCTTCGGGTGTTTGTGAACAATTTCAATTTCACTAATTCATATTATTATTAATTATTTCAGTCAATCCTCATGGACTTTTATTTTAAATACAAGACACACCAAGGTGTATTATTAATAATAATAATGTAATAAGTATAAACACAATTTGTGAATAAGTAGTAAAATTAAAAATATAAGTTTAATAAAAGGTAACAATCGATGTGCCTTAACCAGGAACTCTTGTTTTTAAGAACTCTTCGTTCAGGAGTCTCATTTTTGCGCTATGCGTAATATATTCCATCCCGTCCAGCTTCAAGTAATTGTCCCGTATAAAGGCCTTAAATGGAGTTATCGCACGATCTGGTCGGGTTCCCGTGTGCTTATCCGCTTTTTGAAATGGTTTCGTGATCACTTCAAACTGGCAGTAGTGGCAGCGAATCGCAGTCTTCCCAAAATCAAACCGCCCATAGGACCACCGGGCGCACATAGTACATGTATACTTGAAATTGGGGTCACAATCATGGATCGTGGGCAGCTCAGGCAGTGCCCTTTTCGCCTGGAAGGCCCTAAAGATTGGAACCATATATATAACATCAGAAGTTTTGAAATATTTACACTTCTATCATATCAAATTTAAAGATCATTTTACAGAACTACCTTAGACATATATATATCTGTTCTAAGCAAAAATACTATTAAAAGGTGTAGAAATATTTTTAGGATACCTACAATAATCCTTGAAAACCCTCATTTAGATATTCAAATGTCCCTTAAAATAATGGATTTCAAAACTTTATCTCACCATCTGCGGCAATGGTCGCCGTGTCCCGTCTCCCGGTTAAAGACAAAGGCCGCGGCATGGCACATTTCGTGCAGGAGCATCTTAAGGAGCATCTCCGGCTGACTTATCTTCTTCCACAGCAGGATGTAGGCGGACCGCTGTCCAGAGGCATCGATGTTGACTCGTTCACAGGATGTGCGCAAGGAGCTCTTCCAAACGATAGGCGCATGGAGGCCGCAGTGGAAGATGGCGTGGTTGAAGATGTTGAACAAAGTTTTGGCCAGTTCCTCCTTGCAGCTTTTGAAACTCGTCTCCCGGTAGGCTAGCGCAAGCAGAGGATACATGTTGACCGGGGTCGAGGGGTGGAGCGACTCGACAAATCTGTAGAAGTGCGGGTGCCGTTCCCGGCAGGCGATGCTGCTCTTGTGCCGGCTACAATTGGCGGCCACCTGCTCCCTGCTGGGCAACTCGCTCAGGTCGAGCTCTTTAAGGAAGTTCGGCGTCTCCATCTCTGTTATTTTGGCATCGGTCTTCAGCAGGATGTCGTTGCGCTCCTTCGCCCGACGCTCCTCCAGAGTCGGCGGATGGGGGTTCGCTAGATTCAGACTTGACCAGGTCGAGGAGAGAATGACTGGCTGTGCGGGCGAGAAAGTGGAATTATTCAGTGGATAAGTGTCCGTTGAAGTCAGCTCCTCCAGTTCCGGCGCGCAGTACTCCTCGGGGTTGTACAGCCTGCGACGTGTCGCTATCAGACCCAGCAACTTCTGCACATTTGTCTTTAATTCTGCATCATCTTCCAGGGAAATATTATCCAGTGGCTCGTTCCGAACAGTGGCCACACGATTTCCCAATTCGAGATAGACTAACGAAGCACGATCCTTCAGCGAGGATTCCTCCTCATCAAATCCCGACTCCATGTATAAACAGTCTAACTTCTGGTTCCTCTGAAATGAAACAGAGCGATTCGATTCCGGATTCCCATGAAATTTTTTGATCTCTGGATCATCGCCTTCTAGATCCGTACAGTGTCGCTTCAGTGAGAGCCTAGGTGTGTCCATTTTGATGCTTTGATTCGCTTTGAAAGTTCGTTTATAATACAGTTTATTTAGCTTAGTAATTTGATTGTTGACATTTATAAACCCGTATTCGTCGGAAAGTATTACAGTCGGTAGTTCGTATTCCAAAAGAAAATCGTTCTAGAACGCATTACTCATGGCTAACTTTTACAGATGCATTCCAAAATGTATTTAAAAGAAAGCTTCTTTTTTGTCACACGCCAGTGTAAATTTAATGGGAAAGTTCATCGAAGTGGAAGATGTTTTTGGTGAACATCACTATAAAAGAACGTGTTTCAGAAGGCTTTCCCTTCCGACTGGGAAGGAAGGTGCTCAAATTTCTTGACCTCAGCACTTTTCATACGATTAGAAATCCCAAAACCGACCAAGCTGTTCTGATCAGAATACACATATAAATTTATTTACTTTATGCTCCCCACACACTTTACAAGTACCGTGCGATCAAACGAATAATATCTGCAATAAACATATTTTTGAATTATTTTAATTTGATTCGAAGTACAATATTATTCACTAAACTGTTTCAAAATATTCAATAATTTGCATACACATACAAGGGATGGATTTCAGGGTCAGGATGGCTCCCTTATTTTATTTGCTGCTTCATTACCGCTGCAATGGGTCAAAACGAAGAAACTGAGGATCGGGAAAATGGGAGGGACAGCTCCTACTTTCGAGACTCATTTAGCGAGGGCGTTGTAGGCATGTCTTATGTACACTATTCGTAAATATCTGTATTGTATATAATATATATGTATGTATATTGTTATGTATACCATATAAACTTGAATTTAGCATTAAAAATTCCCAATGCTGGTTGTAACTAGTCCCCGGGGGGTGAGAGGGGCTCAACATTAACTGAGCAGCAGCACTTCCCGGCTCTTATCGCGTCGCATAATAAACAGATCCCTTCCACTCCATCCCCGCTCCTCCTCCTCCAATCCGGCCAAGCACACACATTCACACGGCTTCCCTAAAGACTTCGTAGCGGGTTTGTTCGTTCGAGTTGTTGCTTCATTGCATTGCTGTGGTTTGTGGTTTCGATTGCTCCGGACTCTGCTGCTTATGTGTTGCGAATCTTGCCGGGCACGTAGTTCTTATCGATGACGTTCTCCTGCAGGAACATGTGCAGGCAGCGCTCGTTCTGCGCCAGCGGATGTCCGGCTATCTTGTTGATGAAGGCCTCCAGTCCCTTGCGCCGCTCCTCGATGAAGCTCTCGTCGAAGATGCCCTCGTCGCCGCGGAAGGGCATCTGGCGCTTCCAGGCCTTTCCTGGGAGTGGGGGCACCACAATCTGGGGGATATTCTTTTGATTAAAAACTGTTTGTGCGTATAAAGAAGCATTCGTTTTCACTTTCGCAGATATTTTTTGATTGCGCTATATGGCTAATATTCTTGTCAAGTGCTTTCTTTGAGATTATTAGTCCAAAATGTAACTCTGTTTAGTATTTCATAAAATGGTGAACCTATCTACATTTTAGCAGCTAATTTTATAAATCGATTTTACTTTTGAACGTAGGCCAAGGGAAAAAAGGCACATGGCGACAAGCCAAGAAGAGTCACATTGAGGGTACATGCTAATAATACTAGTATTAATAGGTTGGCAACAATTTGTATGGTAGGTAAGGAACAATAATGTCAGTAAAAACGAATATAAGTGACTTCTTGGTACTGTGAAAAATCTGGAATTTGGAAATAGTTCAGGCCTTCAATGGGTATTTTTAAATCTAAACAGATTTCTATGTAGAAGTAAAAAAATTTGGATATTAAAAATATAACATATTTTAAAAACATATTAATAATACAAATGTTACCCTAACAACTTCTTACACAAACAGAGCTTTTTTGATAAAATTTACTTTATCAAAGAGGTATGATTTTAGAGATTAATGATATCATTCAGGGGCAGAAAGCAGTTCCTAACTTTAGCCGATCAAACCAACGAAAGTGAAAACGGAGCACCTCTGTAGAGATCATCGGCTCCCTCACCTTACTGTCCCGCTCCAGTTCGTTCCGCAGCCACTCGAAGTCGCTGTAGCGTCGCCTCACACTGGACTCCTTCACCTTGAAGACGGGCAGATTGGTCTGGAAAGCAAAGGCAGTTGGTTAGCACTATAGGCGAGACACTTAGAGGTGGGACCAAAGTACAAGAGCCTAATTAGGGCGCCCGCATGCCGGACATCCGTGACTCAAGCCCCGAATCAGTGCTCTGCACTTGTGACTAATGTTTATCGCCCGGTTCGCTTTATAGGCGTATCACCCGCACTCACACACACATGCAGGCGAGACAAAGTCGCACGTACAGGCGCGATTGTGCGAGCGAATTCCAGCGATTATCAATGGTTTTCGGTGGGGTCATAGTTTCGGAAGGTACTCCCCCGTGTTAGATCACTCACCCGCATCCGGACCTCGTAGTCCGTGTAGCGCTTCTTGCCCGCCGCCATGGTGGTCAGCGGATTGACCACGTCGATCTCCAGGAAGTTGGCGGGCACCGCGTACGCATCGTCCAGCGTCTGCTTCTTCACATTGAGGCGGCGGGTGGCGTCGGCGGTTCCATCGGACTCAACCATCATAGTGGTGCAATGCCAGGGGCTCCGGATCGGCAGAGATATAGACGCCCCTTTTATCGGACGCGACGCAAGAAGAAACGGGTTTTGCACTGCCCCTCTTTCTTTGTGTTCTTTGTCGCAGGTAGTTGCTTCCGGCTAGGGGTTTCTGTGTCCTATAGTTGTCCCTTTGCAATTCTCTGTATTTTCGGGTTGCCCAACTGCCGCAGCGTGTAAACAACTATTGTAATTTAATTAAAATTGTTCCATTAAAAAAACTTTCCAATAATTAACAGAGCTCTGTGGGCTAACATTTGGGTGTATCGATGAGACCAAGTATCGATTACTTATCGTTTGAGGTGGCAATGCTGCTGGGGATGTGAACTCCGCTAAAGTGTTATTAAAAAGAGCGACACCACCGCAGATTCGAGCAGTGGCGGGCAAATTGACTAACGCCTGGTGGGTCATGTGATGGCACGTGACGTCACAGCAGATTCACATTCAGCAATACTTTTTCAGTTCCAGGGCAATTTTTCCAACGACTCGCAACGACTTCGCAGGCCAAAATTTTGCGTGTGTGTCGCTCAGTACTGTTTCGTAGCTGAAAAATTGTACGTTGTGTAAAACAAATACGCAGAACAGTGGCTAAAATCAAATCAATCCATTTTCACAGCTCGAAATTCGCAGTGCACTTTCAAGGTAGAGGAGGCGCAGAAAAAGTCTAGCCAAGATGAACGCCCAACAAGCCCAGCGGGAACATGTCCTCGCCGTCTCCCGGGACTTTATTTCCCAGCCCCGCTTGAGTGAGTATCGTAAAGTAGATCGGAGCCCCTTGGAAATAAGTGAAAAATAGATAAATACACTGCAAGTGCCAGATAAAACGAAGGAGAAAAAGCTGAAAAATCCGCCATGACAGTTTGCACGAATCTGGTGTGAGGCGGAGCAGAGAAAGAAATCAATAAGTTCTTGCGACACCCACTGAAAAGCGGGCAGACTGCCTGGCATCCTCGGCTAGTTAAATGGGATAAGGTGTTATATGACGGCGAAGGGATCCCGAGTTACTATATAGTATTCCCCCAATGCACCCTCATAATCGCCGTTAACTCCTATTGAAAATTTTCGCCGTCACATGACCGTTGGCTGCTCAGCTGTTTGCTTTTGCCATTCAGAGCGCACACACTCAAGCACCTGACTGCGAACGGGGTGGGAGGCGGAACGGGCAATAGGTCCGCCGCATTTTAACTACTTTTTATCGAGGGTGTCAATTTTATTATTATTCATTTTGGCACTGGAAAATATCATCCTATTTTTCAAAGTTATTGCCTATTAAGTACCATTCCACCCAATACATAACAGCAAAGAGTGCAATTTTAAATATTACACAAAAAGCTAGTTAAAAATCCACGTCTTACGTGACTTTTGCTTGTTTTTCCCTATTATCTTGCCCTGCATTGTGCATTCCCCTTCTTCCCATCTACTTCTTATAAGATTCCCACTGCAGCTCGTGGCAAGGGCTAAAAACCAGTTGGAGTCAGCTGACATAATTTACCCTCACCACCAACGCCCCCTCGCTCCCACACTTTTCTTTTGACGTTTGCCTTCTTATCAGATTCCTACTTTCATGTGAGCATTGCGCGACTCGTGTTTTTGTTGTAACGAAAGTTAATTGGAAGTTCAAGAAAGCAATGTGCTGCAAATTAAAGTAATTTAATATTAGTTCTAATAATAATAATATGCAACAAATAGAGATATAATTTAGGAACAAATGATATTTCAATAAAAGTTAATCCTACGTTATGTACTAACATAATGTATATGGTTTAGCAACAGTAATATATAACTTTTTTAATTTTAATTTTTTACTTAGTGACCATTGTTATAAAACAGAAAAATTCAAAACCGGCTTTTATGTTCAATACTTTCTAGCAGTTTTTATACTAACCGCATGACTCAAGGAAAAGAAAATTAATGGGATATTAATTATTACTAATTAGATAGGTTTACACTTAAAAGTAATACAACCAACGTTAATATTTTTCCTGCGCATTTCGATTTGAAAGATAGGATAGGAAACTCTTTCATTTAACATTTAAATATAAACCAATGCAATAGTTAAATTAGCCACATTGCAAATATTTGTTAAGATGTTCACCCATTTCCAAACTGATTCCAAACACAGTTCCTAACAGCATGATGTAACTTGTATCTTTGAAACTCTTTTCTCCCACAGCCTACAAGACCGTGTCCGGTGTGAACGGTCCCCTGGTCATCCTCGATGAGGTCAAGTTCCCCAAGTTCGCCGAGATCGTGCAGCTGCGCCTGGCTGACGGCACCGTGCGCTCCGGCCAGGTGCTCGAGGTGAGCGGCTCCAAGGCCGTGGTGCAGGTGTTCGAGGGCACCTCGGGCATCGATGCCAAGAACACGCTCTGCGAGTTCACCGGCGACATCCTGCGCACGCCCGTGTCCGAGGACATGCTGGGCCGTGTGTTCAACGGATCCGGCAAGCCCATCGACAAGGGACCCCCAATCCTGGCCGAGGACTTCCTGGACATCCAGGGCCAGCCCATCAACCCCTGGTCGCGTATCTACCCCGAGGAGATGATCCAGACCGGTATCTCGGCCATCGATGTGATGAACTCGATTGCCCGTGGCCAGAAGATCCCCATCTTCTCCGCCGCCGGTCTGCCCCACAACGAAATCGCCGCCCAGATCTGTCGTCAGGCCGGTCTCGTCAAGCTGCCGGGCAAGTCCGTGCTGGATGACCACACCGACAACTTCGCCATCGTGTTCGCCGCTATGGGTGTGAACATGGAGACGGCCCGTTTCT